TCCCCTCCCAGGCAGGGCTCAGGGTCTCCCCCTAGGCGATGGGGAACACCGGAGCTCAGGCTGGGAGCTCACTGGCTGCTGGTGAGTCCAGAATGAAGCCTGGGGGGCATTAACTCACTTCCCTTACAAAGGCCTGCAGGAGGGGAGACCCAGGGACAAACCGTCGCGCCCGCAACAGCCCCCAGCGCACAGGAGTCCCTCAGTGTTTGCGTGTCACAAATAGGGACTCTGAGGCCGCGAGGAGGAAGGGGTCACTGTGTGTCACACGCCAGGTGGTGGAGTCCCTCTCCCCGGGCCGCCACTCACCAGCTGGGGCTCCTGGGCCCCCTCCAGAGGTCACCCTGCAAGTTGTTCTTAAGACCCTCCTTGGGGAAGGGCTGGGGCCCAGAGACCGGGGGACGCGTCGCTGGGGAGGTCGGCGCGGGATCCCCGGCTGGCACTCTCTGGACCTTTGCCACCCCCCAGCCTGTTTGCAGTCTTCAAAGACACCTTAGGGAGCCCTGTGTCCTGCCGTCCACCCCCACCCAGCCTGCCCCATGAGCATCACACAGGGTCAGATACCTGTCGGCACCATCCAGAGCCAAGGTCACCGTCAGCATGAGTCCCCTGGACACAGTGCCCCTCCCCCACCCCCAGCTCACCAGTGCCTGCAGGTGACCACCCCTTTGACCTTCCTTGACCACTCAACTTCATTCTCTCTGCTGTTTGGGTAGGGGTTTTTTTCCCCCTTAGTTATTGGTGTTTCTCTCGTATTTTACGTTATTGTTTCTATTAAGAGTATTTTGAGTGTGTGGACCCGAGAGCCTGGGAATAAGGTGGCATCTGAGATAACCTTCTACTTCTCCATCCCCGTGACCATATAGATCAACATGTAGGTCTATGGATCGTCTGGTTATACATCTGAGGTTCTACGAATCTGCTGTACAGGCACCTGGGGGTAAGGTGTGGCCTGTGGTGGGCAGCTAACGCTCCATTCGACCGGGCTATGCCCACACTTGGTATATGCACATAACAAAGATGCGAAAAATCCTTTCTTATTTTTCCTTTTTAAAAATCAATAAATCATTTGTGATGCTTTTAACAGAGATTAAATGAATATAATCAGCTTTTGCCTTATTATGAAGCGATTATTCAACACTGACATGAACACACAGGCAGGCCGCTCGGACTGTGGTCTCCAGGCCCCTGGGAGTGGGACCAGGAGCAGTTCCTAACGCTGGGAGCAGGTGGCAATGACGTTAACCTTCAGGGTCACTGGATCAGGAACATGTCACCTGCAAAGCAACGATCCTCCCCAGCAGCTTGTAAGGTCCTTGCATGCAGCTTTCAAGGCTAGCGGAAGGGCCCGGAAGCATCAGCCCATTTGCCAGATGGGGAGCGGAGGCCCCGGGAGGTTGAGGGCCAGGAGGCTGACAGTGCAACACAGCACAGTCCTGGGCCCGCTGTGTCTCTCTCTCTTTTTTTTGTTTTAATTTTTTTTACATTCATTTTTGAGAGCTAGAGTGTGAGTGGGGGAGGGGCAGGAGAGGGGGAGACACGGAGTCCCAAACAGGCTCCAGGTTCCGAGCGGGCAGCACAGAGCCCGACGCGGGGCTCGAACCCACGGACCGCGAGATCGTGACCTGAGCCGAAGTGGCCGCTCAAACGACCGAGGCCCCCAGACGCCCCAACCATCTCTTGATCTCAGAAGTGCCACCTGGCTTGTCTCTGAGGGGCCAGGAGGCCGGCCCCTGGCCAGTGCTCCGGCCGCGTGTCCACAGCTGCTTGGGACCTTCAGCCGTGAGGTCTTGTCGGGAAAACTCTTGCTTCCCTTCTCTCTTCCACGCCGAGCTTCCATACAGGCCCCTGCACATTTGCCACGTGCTCGCACCCCGTTTCCAGAAGGAGGCGAGCCTGAAGCCGTGTCCGGCCGACAGAGCATGGGGACAGGTGGGAGCCGACAGCCCGACTCCCTGGCTTTGCCCCGGAGCAGGTGCCTCAAACACCGGGAGCTCGCACACCCGGGCGTCATGGGCGCTGGAAGACAGGGCACCCTCTCCGCGGCCGTGGCCCTGGGATCGGGCTGCGGGCACCGGGACGGGGTGGCCAGGGCAGGAGCTCACCTGCTCAGCCGCCCACCAGGAGCTCGGTTCCCACGACACTGCCTGCTTATGTGGTGGGGGAGGGGCCCCGGCAGCCGCACAGCCGCCCCTGCAGGTCCAGATGGGCCTTAGACGCGCAAACGCCCCGCGAGCCTCAGTTTGCCGCAACGATCGCCAAGCGCCATTGGTTCCCGCTGGCTGGCAGCGGGTGGCTCAAACGCCGGGCACGGTCCCCGCCTCTCCTGGGCCGCGACCCGTTGGCTCCCCAGGCGCCTCGCTGTTGGAACAAGCTGCTGCCCGCGAGGCTCGGTGGCTTTTGGAGCCCAGGGAGCTCAGACTCGCCAGTTCCAGGCGCTGAGTGCGCCGGCCCGGGCGCTGTCCTGACGCGTGCCCGTGACCCGCTGGCATCCCCGTAGCGTCGTAATTGGTCACACACGGTTCCCGGGTTCAGCAGACGGCCCTTCCTCGCTCGTTCTAGAACGCGCCCTGGCACGCTGCTGGGAAAACACGATCATTCACGCCGTGTGCGGCCGACACGACTGTGGCCCAAATGCTCAGCTGTGGTCACGATCCAACAGCGTCCTGGCTGAGGAGGCGGTGCCTGCCAGCACGGCGGTGACGAGGACAAGGTGACCACAATAATGACGACAGCTCCCATTTAGTCTCTGCCACGTGCCAAGTCCGCTGAGGCACTTTTCGTGCAGTTTCGCAAAGCCAGCCGCCAGCAGCAGCCCCATCCCACAGTCGAGGGCAGCAAGGCGCCCAGAAACCACGTCAGGTCCCCAGTGAGCGTCCCTAGGAGCCGCCAGCCCCCCTGTGACCACACAGCTCCTACAGAGGAGGTTGGTGGGTGAGGGCAGAGCACGGCCGGGGGAGGCCGCCAGGCAGGGGGCTTCCGGGCCACGTGAGGATGAACGTGTCCAGGAAGTCACCAAAGGCGAGGCACTAAAGCCAGTGTATAATGTTTCTAGAATTTTCTTGGGACTCAGTGGAGAGGGGGGACAGCAGCTGCGTGCAAAGTGACGATGGGGGACGGCTTCCTGAAGAGGTGCGGATGGGAATGAGCAAATGGAGGAGGGGAGAGGGACGGTGTGTCAGGAGAGAAGGGACTGCCTCTCTGCGGTCATACCTCAGGACCAGTGCCCAAGTGCGAGCAGAGGGCCTGCACCGGGCGGGAACAGGGAGGCACAGAAGCACCTGGGTTTAGAGCTTCTCTTCCAACTGCACTGTGTTTCCAGGGAATGACAAATGAGGCAGAAAAAGGGGTCAGGGAAACAGGAGAAGGTGTGAAATTGTCATCCGGGAGAGGGAGGAAGTGGATTTGCCGAGGAAGTTGGTAAAATTTCTAGCAGCGAGGAGGCTCCCCTGGCGATTTGAGTCACAGAGTTACGTGGAAAACTTCCGGCGTGGCTCCCTTCCTCCCAACCACTTTCCGCCGCTCAGGTGTTAGGGACATACACATCATTGTCCTCGGGTCACAAAATGGCTGCAGTAGCTCCAGACTTGGCACCTTCATCTCATGAAGTCTAGAGGTGCTGATCAGGTTACATGGCCATCCCGGAGGGAACCCCTGTAGCTCACGGTGTTGGTCTTGAGTCACATGCTCCCCTACCCTCACCCCTAGCCAGAGTCAGGGCCACTGTTCGCCCCTACACTGGGGACAAAGAGCAACCACAGAAGGCTGATGGTGAGGCAGAAGTCAATGCTCGTCTTGCAGCGTCAACACCAGAATGTGGGATCAGAGGGGACCCTGCCTCAATCCTGGGGGTCATGGAACGCAGCGGGGCAGCCGGGGCTCCGGAAAATGCTTGGTCTGGAGGGCGCTCCTCCATCAAGGCTAAGTACCTGGAACAGGAAGCAGGCACAGACGGGGGAGGGGCAGGTGGACAGCCCCCCAGCCTAAGGCGGTTGGAAGGCTGGCCTGTGGATGCAGAGAGAAGGCATATTTTCCGGATGAGCCTATAAAGGAAGCTGGAGGAAATTTTAGAAACCGCGTGCATTGTGCCTGGATGTAACACGCAAGCAAATATCCCTTCTCGGAAGCCGGACAGAAGTGGGCAGGCTGGGCGGGAGGGGGCGTAGAGCAGGGCACACGAGCAGGTTCGTGTGGAAAATAATGTGGGTCAGAGCTCGCAGCGAAGGGAGCGGCGACCCCTGAGGGGGCGGGGCGGGCATCTGAAAAAGGCACGGGGACGGAGAGAGGAAGAGACCCGAAAGAGACCCTGTGAGCGCTCTGGGTCGGGGGGCCGTTGGTCCACACAGACTGAGCTGAAAAAGCCCAAGCGTGCGGATTCCGCACACGTTTCTGGACTGGAAGGGTAAGGATGGAATGGACAGAACGCTTGCAGGGGGGCTGAGGCTCCTCCCTCGCGCGTGGCTCGCAGGCAGAAGGTCTGGGGGACCAGAGAGACGCGGGGGGGGGGGGGGGGGGGGCTCGGCGTCGCCAAGGGTCCGGCCGCGGCTCGGCCCAGCTGGCTTTCATTTGTCAAGGAACTTGGACAACGTCCGGGATCTGGGAACGTTCGAGGCCGCAGGTGCACGTGCCTTCCGAGAAGGAACCACCCCGCTCTCGTGTCAGCCGAGGGGGCTCGACGGCGAGCGCTCTGACGGCAGGGGACCGGCGAGGGGGAAAGGGCCGTGGGAGCATCGATCACCTGAATAAACGCGGAGATGAAGCAGAGCAAGAAGTCAACGGTCCCCGCGCACCTGCCCGAAACCCGGGCGGCTGCGGGACGAGATGCCAGCGACTCAGCGGGCTCCCCCGACCTCCGCTTTGGTCTAGCGACCCGGAGCGCTAGGCCCGCCCGGTCGACCCGGGGAGCAGTGAGGCCGGGACTCCCGAGCCTTGCTCCTCGTGAGTCTGCGCTGCCCGAAGGCAGTGGGTGCTCACCAAACGGGGAATGAATGAGACATGTGAATGAATGATTCCTCGGGGGAATCAATGAGAGGCGCGAATGAATGAATCCTCGGGGCCCAGGAGCGTCTGTTGGGAGAGAACGTGGTTTCAGCTCGTCCAAAGCTTCAGGGGCTGCAGGACAGGCCGCGCCCCGTCCCTCTGGTGCAGGAGGCAAGTGAGGGACGGGTGTGGCTGTCATTGTCACCATTGGCCATGGTGGTGGAGGCACCGCTGTCACACCCGTGTTTCTGAACGGCTTCTCCGGGCCAAGCCCCACACCAGGCGGCTAAGGTCCAGAAGCGGGCGGCCCAGAGCCTGCCCCGAGAGAGCCCCCAGCCCCGGGGACGCGTTTAGGAACAGGCGCGGGAGCCGCAGCTTTGCCGGTTTTCTTGCTCATCCTGTCGGGGTCACGCAGAGGGACGCGAAAGGAGAGCCACATGCACGTGGCTTGAGGCAGCAGCTCACCTGGGCACTGGGGGGGGGGACACACACCTGTATGGCACCCGGGTACAGAGGGGACCCCGGGACGCCCCGGGAGCGCCGCTTCTGAGATGA